TTCTGCAGGTCAGAAATGACGATGGAAACGGCTACCATCAAACTGGGATCCCAAAATGCAATGCAGATAGTTGGATCCCAGGACTGTAAGGTCTGAGGGGCCATACTTATTGTCAAAGGCAAGGTGGATATAGCTGCTGTTATGAACAGTGGTGTCAAAATGTTAGCCAGAATAGTCAAACTCACAGGGACCTTTGGCACTGTCTAGTTCATCATGATGTCCCTAGAAAAGAAGTAGATAAGCAATCTACTAAATTCTGACTTGATCTGTGCAAGCAGAGTTCCATGTTGTATAATTAGACATCTAACTTGAATTAGCAAAATAGAGAGTAACAGTCCCTCAATTATTTCCCAGACATGAGCTAGGTTATATACCCCAAACCCATTAAATGATGGGGAGGTTGGATCTGCTTGAGGAAGAGCCCTACTACACTGTCAAAAATGTACACTGTTCATCTTTCTCTCAGTCGTCCCCAAGGGGACCTGTGGCCACTTACCACGGTGACTGTGCATTGAGGAAAGTCATCCTGGTAAGTGGCCATACGTATGGCCAATGGAATTCACTTGTAGGAAATCAAAGGGCTCCAAGAGCAGGCATTCAGGGTGTTCATCGCCCTGATCTCTCCCTGTTGAGTGGTTCCAATGTGTCCCTGCTCCTCCACCAAAGGTTACAGCCTGTCAGAGGCTCTTGAGTTCTCTAGATTTTCGTACCTGCCCCTCCCCTAATGGCATCAGCTCCCGGTCCCGCTCGCTCCAGGTGCCTTGCCACTCTTCATCAGTTTCCCTTAACCCTGATCACAGCTTTATAAATAACCCCACTTCAGCCAGGTGCGGTGGCTCATGCCTGTAATCCCAGCACTTTGGGAGGCCGAGGCAGGAGGATCATGCGGTCAGGAGATCGAGACCATCCTGGCTAATATGGTGAAACCCTGTCTCTACTAAAAATACAAAAATTATCTAGGCATGGTGGCACGTAGCTGTCACCCCAACTACTCAGGAGCCTGAGGCAGGAGAACCACTGGAACCCAGAGGCAGAGGTTGCAGCGAGCCAAGATCGCGCCACTGTACTCTAGCGTGGGTGACAGAGCGAGACTCCAACTCAATAAATAAATAAATAAATAACCCCACTTCGTGACACTCTCAATTACCCCATTTCTTCTTCCTGGTCATGCAAGCAGGAAATCACCTCGTGGGGAGCTTCCACAATTCTTAGCAGTTTCTTTGTAGATACAAAACTTTCTGTTCTCCCACCTCCCATAAAAGCTGTTTAGTGTGGTTGTGTTCACACCCTGGACTGTGATCTTGCTCGGGACAGAATGCATATCTGGGTCACTCTTAAGTTTCCTCATTGTATTTTGATATTGTCAGCATGTGAGGTGGTCTATTAATATCTGTTCCATGAATGACTGAATAAATGAATCAATGCTTTATTAAATGATAAGTCCATAGTCTGTTGGGTTCGCCGATGCCGGCCATCGGTGCCATGTTACCACAGGTGTCCTGTGGCAAAGCAGTTTTTCTTGGTCCATTCAAATTGGGACGGGAAGCAGACGTTTTTGTAGAATACACCTCCCCGGGCAGAAATGGAATTGCCTCCCTGTGGTGTGTGGATGGAGAAATGTCCTCGCATCGTAGTTTCAAGTCCTGGTTTGACTGCCCCGCGACCTGGCTTAGACACAGGAGCTGCTCTTCAACTGTTTCTCTTTTTTTGTATATTTTGTGAAATTTTTTTCTTCAGAATTTTGCCACCATGTCTTTCCATTCATTATGAAAATATTATATGTCGTGTTTGCCGGAGGAGATCTAAAACAAAACAATAAAAACCACGGTGCTCAGCTCAGTGCACAGGAGCTCCTGCTGTCGACTCGCTGGGCAGTGGTGGAGGCTGGCGCTTCCCAGGGTGAGGACTCTGCTTCCCATCAGTAGGGTTTGTCGTCTGTGAAATTCTTTTTGCCTCTGGGCAGCACAGAGCCTCTGGGAAACTCTCTTCCCCCCACTTTCTCTTAACTAACTCAGGCCATCCACAGCTTTGACTGATCCCTATGGGATGGGGCCACAGTTCTAATCACTTCTGCTGGCATCTCAAGGGGCATGGAGGGAAAATGGCAGGTCCAATGGATGAGCCTTGGTAGGAAGAGGATGCTGGAGATGGGGATGGGGGGGAGGTGGCCTGAATGGATCACCAGTCCCAGGAACCTTGGCATGGAGGGAAAGCAATGCCACTCTTGTGGGAAAATTCAAACCCTGCTACCTCTGGAGTCAGAGGGTGGGTAGCGGTGGGGACAGACACTTCCCCTCATCACACGCCTCCACCCCATTGCTCTAGGGGCAAGCTGAGCGTTCAGCCCGGTGTTGGGCAGGACCTGAGGGACTATGGGGAGCTGCTCTTCCTTCTGCGGTCAGGAATACGTGTCCCCAGGGATGCGGCAAGAAGCACATAATCTCAAAATGCAGCTATGCATACACATCACCGTGCAAACCATTTGCTTTCTAGTGCCTGCTCATGGTGAGTGCCCCTGTGCCTGAGCCCCCCCATCTAGAGGCCTAACCAAAATATTTAACAACTGGTGTAGACAGGCACTGACCGGTCAAAATGACCACCACTGAAGCAGAGCCTCGGAGGGCCACGGCTGTGCCAGGCACGAGCCCTTCATTTGCAGGAAGACGGAGACGATCAGGAGGTCAGCGGGAAGCTCAGGGAAGGCGTTCAGTATTCTAACAGGCAGGGCAGCTGTGTCAGTGTGAATGAGCTGGTATCAGCCCTGCTCTCACTCTCCTTCGTGGCTTCAGCCCTCCTCGCCCCCTTAGATTTGTGTTTTTCCTTTCTTTTATAAATCCATATTTCTATTTACCAATCTTTCAGCCAGAGCCCTCAATATGGGGGCAGGTCTGGCCTAACTGCAGTGGCCTTGAGAGGCAACCCTGGCCCACCCAGGGATCCCCAAACCCGGCTGTGCATCAGAATCACCCAGTCTGTGCCTAAAAGCCATGGCCCAGGTCCTGTGTGCTTTGACAGAGCAGGCCAGCGGATGCTGAAGCACAACCAGGCTTGCAGCTTCCACCCTCCTCCTAAACCGGATCAGCAGGAAGCCCTGGGGGCAGCGTGAGTTCAAACACCCGCAGGTTCTTGGAAGGAAGGCCATGCCGGCACTACTCACGATGGCCGTTTCTTCCTGATGTATGAGGCCAAACCAAGCAGCAACAGCACGGTGGCCGTGAGGATGACCACCCCTGCGATGGCGGCGATGATGGTGTTCCTCTGCAGGAAATGCAGAAGCTGCCTGCAGGGCAGAGTCCTAAAGTGCGCATCTAAATGAGAAGACACAGTGCAGAGTGAACGGAGATCCCCGCTGGGCCCCCCACCACCAGGACTAAACCTTCAAGCGACACCTGTTCATTCCATTCATAACAGAATAAAAACCTTGGCGTCTTAGCCACTGGTTCCAGAAGTCCTCTTGGGAACGAACTGGCTGTTTGGGGAAATGCATTCATCTGCTATTTGGTGATAAGATGAGATGCTTTTGGGAGGTGGAGATGAGACACTGAGGGTATGGGCTGGCACGCAACAAAGCAACCAGAAATAAAGTTCCACAGACCAGTTTGTAAGAGGTAAAGAGAAGAACAGAGGAGAGCTCAGGTGGGTGAGAGGAGACGGGGGCACTAGAGGAGGTTGAGAAATCCTACTGCAAAGGCTTTTAAGAACAATGGAGGCAAATATTCCGTTTGCAGCTTTTCACAGGCAGTGATAGAACCTCTTCTCTGCTGCCCCTCCTCTGCCCCCTGGCCTCAGGAAGTGGTACTGCATACACAGTCCGCCTCGTGGGTGTAGGTTTGGGGGACCTCACGTCTGCACCAGCACGAGGCAAACACAACGCCACGGATGATCCTGAACTCCTGAGCCCCTCTGAGGACTTACAGAAAGTGTGAGAGTGGATGGGAATACCGCTGAGCACAGGCTGGGGAAAACACGGCAGTCTTAGCTAGATCTCAAAGCAAGGAGATCTCAGCCCACATCAGCATCCATTTATAATGTGACCAAAAAAGAAAACGACATCAGGGAAATCGGGCATGGAGGTAGGATCCCAGGTATCAGCTGGTTTCCTGTGGAGAGCTGTCCAGGGCAGCCGGTGATGTAGACACGGGGAGTGCTGAGCAAGGGTCTTCTTGGTGATGGGGAGAAAACAGGGCATGTCCAGCCTCCCACCTTCAGCTCTGCTATGCCAAGGGGCAGCATGTCCAGCAGCTCAAAGGCTCTGCTGCAATAATTCGGCATTTAGTTTCTAAGCATTAGGAAGTGACAACCAGGTATAATTTTGACAGGGAGTGGCAGTGTGGAGGGGTGTACCGTGCTTGGTGCCAGCATGGGTAAGTTTCTGCCCACTCTAAACAGGTCTGGGCTCAGGGATGAGCCAGGGTGAAGCCCTGGCTGTGCAGAAACAATATAAAAGTAGCATCTTTTTGGAAGAGTGGTGAAATTCCTGGAGTTCGGTTGTTTGTTTGTTTGTTGTTTTTTAGATGGAGTCTCGCTCTTATTGCCCAGGCTGGAGTGCACTGGTGCGATCTCAGCTCACTGCAGCCTCCACCTCCTGGGTTCAAGTGATTCTTGAACTGCCTCAGCCTCCCGAGTAGCTGGGATTACAGGCACCTGCCACCACGCCCAGCTAATTTATTCTTTTGTATTTTTAGTAGAGACGGGGTTTTACCATGTTGGCCAGGGTAGTCTCGAACTTCTGGCCTCAGGTGATCCGCCTACCTTGACCTCCCAAAGTGCTGGGATTACAGGCGTGAGCCACCATGCCCAGCCTCTGGAGTTGGTTTAATTCATAAATTTTAACTGCAGATTGTATTCACGGCAGATTTATTTCACTTTTGCGGGTGAACTAAAGGTGTCAGTTAAAATACCATGAAAGGCAAAAGACACATTCAGAAGTTGTCTGTATTTAAGCATCATACTTGGTTTATCCCATATAGGTTCCCACCTGGTTTAGCTGCCCCTTGAAGTGTTTCTTTATCTCCAGTAGTTAACTGCTCTCTTAAATCCCTGTCGAACAGAGAGGATTCTTTAAACCTCTTCTCTGAAAGGTGATCTACAAAAGATAAAATGTGTTCATCTACAAACAACCACGGCCTGTGATTAGTTCAGCATTTATGAGAAAAGTAGCTTCTTCTAGACTCAAAGTGAGGAGTTAGGGAGGATTTGGGGGAAAAGTCTAAATAAAGCCTACAGAACCTCAGTGTTTTGCTGTTTTTTTGTTTCTGTTTACTTTTTAAAAAATCTAACAAATTCCTGGGCAACCCCCCCACAGCTGAGGCAGCATTTCTTACACTTAAGTGTGCATCTGAATCACACTGGGAGGGCTTTTGAAAACACAGATTCCCAGGCCCCACCCCAGAGTTTCTGATTCCGTAGGTCTGGGGTAGGCCTGGGAATGTGCATGTCTCACAGATCCTGAAAGATGCTGCTTCTGTGGGTAGAGAACCACGCTTAGAGGACCCAAGTGAGAACCTCTCTAAGCCCCAACCTACTTCTCCACTTGCATGAAATAGAGATAATAAGACCTACCTCACAGACTGTATAATGTTCATAAAAATAATTTTGAAACCACAAAGTACTATAAAAATTTTCTTGAGTTGCAAGGACAAGAGAGGAAAATTAACCACATTGAAATACTCAGGTATTGGTAGACGGATTGCAGAATAGTTTAATAGGAAGAAGACAGTCGAAAACGAGAAATATGGCCGGGCGCGGCGGTTCACGCCTGTAATCCCAGCACTTTGGGAGGCCGAGGAGGGCGGATCACAAGGTCAGGAGATCCAGACCATCCTAGCTAACACGGTGAAACCCCGTCTCTACTAAAAAAAAAAAAAAAAATTAGCTGGGCGTGGTGGCCGGTGCCTGTAGTCCCAGCTACTCGGGAGGCTGAGGCAGGAGAATGGCGTGAACCCGGGAGGCGGAGCTTGCAGTGAGCGGAGATCTCGCCCCTGCACTCCAGCCCGGAGGACAGAGCAAGACACCGTTTCAAAAAAAAAAAAAGAAAAGAAAAAAGAAAAGAAAATGAGAACTATTTGCATCCTAGCTTTGCCCTTTGGTGCCTGACTCGTTGGCATATGGGACCTGTCAAAGGGCCTGAGTTTAGCTTGGAGAAAATTGGGAGGCCAGCATGGCCTGCCTGTCTTTGCCAGATGTAGGATGGCCTGGGAAGAGGCTGAGAGATGTTTGGAGAAGCTCTGGGGAACAAACTAGAACCAATGGGTAGGCGCTCCAGGGAAATCTGTTTGGACTGTTTAGCGGTTAGAAAGTGAGCTATCAAGGAGGGAATGGGAAAGGATGAGAAGTAATGAATCTCACACCCTAGAAGACTTCAAAGCAGGCTGGAGCCCCCAGCCCCAGATGGGAGACCTCCAAGGGCTGGAAGGGGGGCAGGGCAGCTTTGGATGAGCTTGGTAAATCTTCCTTGGCCTCGTTCACAGAGAGAGAGAGAATTGTCGCAATAAGAGTTCGCGGCCAGCCTGGGGAACATAGCAAGACCTCATGTCTACTAAAAACTAAAAAAATAAAAAAATTAGCCGGGCATGGTGGCACACACCTGCAGTCCCAGCTACTAGAAAGGCTGAGATAGGCAGATGGCTTGAACTCAGGAGATCAAGGCTGCAGAGAGCTATAATCACACCACTACACTCCAGCCCAGATAACAGAGCCGGACCCTGTCTCAAAAGAATAATAAAATTAAACAAAGTAATAAAACAAAAAAACAGAAAATTATCACAATATGATTAAGACTACCATGTGGGGGTCTGATAACAGTCTAATGAAGTTCTAGTTATTCCTGAAAAAAAGAGAGAAATGTGTTCCTTCTTCAACTTGGCTTAGAAAAGAGAGAAAACTCCCACTTTAATAAGACTGATAATTAACTTGACTTTTGAAATGAAACATGTCAAATCGGAATCCAGAGACTAACAGCCGCAGACAGAAAGCCCTGGCGAGCATAGAGTTATCCACTAGGGGGCGCGCTCGGCTTGCTCGTCCACAGAGCTGTAGCAATGGTAGACCTGACACGGGAACACAGTTTCACTCTTTCTCTACCGGAGGCAGAAGACGACAGAATTAAGAGCCACTGCCTATTCTTATCGTCAGTATGGACGAAGTTTTCATTTACCTAAGGTTCTGTGAAGAGTCTGAAGGCGTCTTTTACGTTTGATGGGTTGCGTTTGATCAATTGTTGGATTATTTTTTTGTGGGAAAAAACAAGCATAATTATCAAATTTTTAACCAACACAGTTTCATTTCCAGACTTCTTTTCAACTTTACAACTATTAACTATGACAGGAGCAGCCACCCATTACAAGAGCAATTCTCCCGTCCTTCCATGCTGTAGGCTCAACCCAAGCTGCCAATCAAGCATGTGCTGGGCTTGGTGAAAACCTTCTTAAAGGAGTGCAGAACCAAGAAACTTTGACTTTGTGCTCAAGGAAAAGTTGAAGTCTTACATCTTCATAATTCTCTGTGTTTTGGAGACTCTAACATTGATGTGAGCCTTTGGTTACAAGTTAACAGCACGTTATTGCTAGGACTGATGCTACATTCCATTCAGTGGACGTACGATCATCGATAGCTACAGCTGCTGTCCACAGACCTGGACACACCTTTTACAAGACACTTCACTTCTCAGAATGGTCATTTCGCCACTCCTCCTCCTATCAAGATGTTTTTGACCATTGATTTTTTTTTTTTTTTTTTTTTTGAGACAGAGTGTCACTCTGTCCCCCAGGCTGGAGTGCAGTGGCACCATCTCGGCTCACTGCAACCTCCGCCTCCCAGGTTCAAGCGATTTTCCTACCTCAGCCTCCTGAGTAGCTGCGATTACAGGGATACACTACCACGCCCAGCTAACATTTGTATTTTTAGTAGAGATGAGGTTTCACCATGTTGGTCAGGCTGATCTCGAACTCCTGACCTCAGTTGATCCACCTGCCTCGGCCTCCCAAAGTGCTGGGATTACAGGCGTGAGCCACCACACCTAGACTTTTTTCCTTTTTCTTTTCTTTTCTTTTCTTTTCTTTTTTTTTTTTTTGAGTGGTCACTGCTGCCAAGGAGGAGGTGCAGACAGTGTGGTCTGGAATTTACTGTCCCTGCGGAGTAGCCTGAGAGCAGCTCCCACCCTCTGAAGATGGATCTGATCAGCCCTCTCAGCTGGCAGACATGAGCTTTGTCACTGCCTGCGGGTTCTTCTCAGCCCTCTTCTTCCCTCACTCTTCCTACTTGGAAAAACCCTATTAAGGACATCAGCCTCTTGTTCTCCCAGAACTCCGTGCAAATACAACGTAAGCACTTTTTAAAGACCTTCAGTGTTCGCCTGTTTATATCTAACAGTTATTTATTGATTCGATTGACTCTCCTAAGAGCTGTGAGGAGCTCTTGGAGGACAAGAATGCCTCACTGAGTACTAGCTTCCAGCACAGTACCTCCTGCTGGGTAGGAGAGATCAGTAGTCAGGTCTTGAGTGAGAGAATGAATCTGGAAGAATCTTGACTGTAACCTCATGAGGGACTCCGAGCCAGAACCACCCTGCTAAACCTGTCTTGCTAGCCAAGACTGCCGGGCACGGTGGCACGCGCCTGTAGTCCCAGTTACTCGGGAGGCTGAGACAGGAGAATCGCTTGAACTTGGGAGGCAGACGTTGCAATGAGCGGAGATTGTGCCACTGCACTCCAGCCTGGATGACAGAGTGAGACTCCATCTCAAAAAAAAAGAAAAGAAAAGAAAAGAAAAAAAACGTCCTGGTTCCTCCTGAAGGAAAAATAAAGATTTGAAAGTAAAAGTATGTGAAAGCAATTGACCGAAGAAACAGTTTTAGAAATCAAAAGATCAAGCTAGATAGCAGGCTTTCTATTCCCCAAGCATATCACTTAATTTTACTTGAACAATGATTATTCAGGGGTGAAGGTAAATTATTCAGGGGCGTTTTCTTATTCAAGGGTGAAGGCACATTATTCAGGGGCAGAGGTATCTTGGCACTGTAATATACATACCTGGGCAGACCACACCTAACATTTGCAAAACCAGCACAATAATTTTAATAGGTTAACAAATGGTACTAGGAAAACAGGATATCCACATGCGAAATAATAAAGTTAGATCCTTATCCAACACCATAAACAAAAATTAACTCACAGTGGACCAAAGACCTAAAAGTAATGCCTAAAACTATAAAAACTTTTAGAGGAAAACAGAGGGCAGAAACTTCATGACATTGCATTCGGAAATTATTTCCTGGGTTTGATACCAAAGTAACAGGCCACCAAAGAAAAAATGGACAAATTGGACTTTAAGCAAATTTTAAAATTTTGTGCATCAAAAGACAGTGTCAACAGAATAAAAAGGTACCCCACCCAGAATGGGAGAAAACATTTGCAAATTGTTTATCTGGTAAGGGAATGATACTCAGACTACAGAGAGAACTCCTGACACCCAACAAAATACAAAAATACAAAAAACAACTGATTCAAAAATAGGCAAAGAACTTGAATAGACATTTTTCCAAAGAAGATATACAAATGGCAAATAGAACTTCAAAAGATGCTCAACATCAGTAATCATTAGGGAATTGCAAATCAAAACTACAATGAAATACCACCTCATATCCATTAGGATGGCTACTATCAAAAAAACAGAAAATAGGCTGGGTGCGGCCACTCACGCCTGTAATCCTAGCACTTTGGGAAGCCAAGGCAGGTGGAATACCTGAGGTTGGGAGTTCAAGGCCAGCCTGGCCAACATGGTGAATTCCCATCTCTACTAAAAAATATAAAAAATTAGCCAGGTGCAGTGGCACGCACCTGTAGTTCCAGCTACTTGGGAGGCTTGGGAGGCTGAAGCAGGAGAATCACTTGAAACTGGGAGGCGGAGGCTGCAGTGAACTGAGATCAATTGTGCCACTGCATTCTAGCCTGGGCAACAAACAAAAAGAAAATAACACGTGTTGGCAAGGATGTGGAGAAACTGAAACCCTTGTGTGCTGTTGGTAAGAATGTAATATGTTACAGCCATGATAGGAAACAGTATGGCAGTTCCTCAGAAAATTAAAACCAAAATCACCATATCATCCAGCAATTTCACTTCTGAGTATGTACCCAAAATAACTGAAAACAAGGTCTCAAAGAATTATTTGTACATCCATGTTCATAACAGGATTATTCACAAGGCTAAAATGTGGAAGCAACCCAAATATCCATCAAAGGATAAGTGAGTAAACAAAACATGGTAGAGACATACAATGGAATATTACTCAGCTTCAAAAAGAAAGAACATTCTGAAATATGCTACAACATGGATGAATCTTGAGGACATTATGCAAAATCAAATGTCAGTAACAAAAAGACAAATACTGTATGATTGCACTCACGTGAGATATTTAGAGTAGTCAAAATCACAGAAAGTAGAACGGTGGTTGCCAGGGGATGCAGAGATGGGGGAATGCATGGTTATTATTTAACGCATATAGAGTTTTGGTTTTATAAGATGAAAAGAGTTCTGGAGATGAATGTTGGTGATGGTTGTACATTATGAATATATTTAATACCACTGAACTGTGCCCTCAAAAATGGTTAAGATGGTAAAATTTCATATTATGTGTATTCTATAACAATTTTTAAAAATTGAAAATACAAATGGAGAAACACCTACCATATGTATCAATAATTAAAAGTTATAAATCATGGCTCAGTCTACATATCTATACAAGGACCTACTGCTTTCTTGGTGGCTAAAGGAACCCCAAGGCTCCTTCCCAGTCCCCTGCCAGTCTGAGTGACAACACAGATGTGCTGAAGCAGGGAAAAAGCTGGGCCCAAGCCCAAGATTCCTGAGCAGTGACTGGACCCTCCAAGCCTCACTATGACCAAGTAGAATTTATTCTAGGAATGCAAAGTTGGTTTGACATTAGGAAATTCATTATTATCATATATATAATCTTAATAGACTTAAGGAAAAGAATCATATGATTAGTTCCAAAAATTCAACACCCACCTGTTCCTGATTTTTCAAATACTCAAGCAAATATGTAATAACAAATGTTAGTAAGGATATGAAGAAATGGGAACTCTTGCAAATATTGGTGGGATTGTAAAACAGTGCAGCTGCTATGGAAACAATATGGAGGTTCCTCAAAAAATTAAAGGTAGATTTACCATATGACCCCACAATCCCACTTCTGGATACGTATCCTAAAGAATTGAAAACAGGATCTTGGAGATATTTGCATACCCATATTCATTGCAGCGTTCTTTTATTTTTTTTGAGACGGAGTCTTGCTCTGTCGCCCAGGCTGGAGTGCAGTGGCCGGATCTCAGCTCACTGCAAGCTCCGCCTCCTGGGTTCACGCCATTTTCCTGCCTCAGCCTCCCGAGTAGCTGGGACTACAGGCACCTGCCACCTTGCCTGGCTAGTTTTTTGTATTTTTTTTTTAGTAGAGACGGGGTTTCACCATGTTAGCCAGGATAGTCTCGATCTCCTGACCTCGTGATCTGCCCGTCTCAGCCTCCCAAAGTGCTGGGATTAAAGACTTAAGCCACCGCGCCCGGCCAATTGCAGCATTATTTACAATAACCAAGACATGAGAGCAACCCAAGTGTCCAACAACAGATAAACGGATAAAGAAAATATGGTATATACATACAATAGAATATTATTCAGCCTTAAAAAGAAAGGAAATTCTGTCATATGCTACAACATGGATTAACCTGGAGGACATTATACTATGTGAACTAAACCAATCACAAAAAAACAAATACCGTATGATTCAACTTACATGAGATATCTAAAGTAACTCAACTCATAGAAACAGAAGAAAATACCCAAAAGTATTTTTTGGACAGATACATTATCATTTTCAGTATAAATATATGTATGCATATATATTTACATGTACGTGTGTAGACGGAAGGATAGTTATACAGATAGATAATCTCTTATTCATATTAGTCCTATAACCAGACTCTTAATCAGGAAACTCAAGAGGCATTTTCTCCAAGAGCAAGAACAAAGCAGGATGCCCACTGTATCTCCAGCAACCACTCAAGATTAACCTAGAGGTATTAGCAATGCAATTAAACACGATAAATAAATCAGGTAGAGGCATAATAGGTAAAGATTTAAAACTGGCTGGGCATGGTGGCTCATACCTGTAATCCCAGCACTTTGGGAGGCCAAGGAGGGCAGATCACCTGAGGTCAGGAATTGGAGGCCAGTCTGGCCAACATGGTGAAACCCTGTCTCTAATAAAAATTCAAAAATTAGCTGGGCATGGTGGCGTGTGCTTGTAGTCCCAGCTACTCAGGAGGCTGAGGCAGGAGGATCGCTTGAACCTGGGAGGCGGAGGTTGTAGTGAGCTGAGATCATGCCACTGCACTCCAGCCTGGGCAACAGAGTGAGACTCCATCTCAAAAAAAAAAAAAAAAAGAAGAAGTAAAACTATCTATGTAACAGTATATGTAGAATTGAATAAGGCAATAGGACATAAAATTCATATCCAAAAAGCAAGCCTTCCTATTCCCAAACATTAAGTAGGTAGAAGGTATAATGATAGAGAAACCCCCTCTCTTACAATAGCAACATAGAAAATTAAGTGACTTAGGAATAAACTTAAGAAGATACATGTAAAAATCTATGTAAGGAAAACTTTAACACACACTGAAAATAAACTTGAAGAACTGGAAAGGCATTCCCATTTCTAGCATAGGATGACCTAACATCTGTTTTCCCAAAGTGAATATTGTCGTATAAATTTGATGCAATGCCAATCAGAATACCAAAAGCCTTTGGATGAAGTTAGACAAGTTGATGCTAAAGTTCACATGGAAAAACAAACATGCAAAAATAGCCAGGAAGACAATGAAAAAACAAAAACTGCAAAAGGCGAACTAGTCCGACAAGACATGGAAACATACTGTTTTCAGGCGCGGTGGCTCACGCCTGTAATCCCAGCAAGGAGTTTCGCTCTTGTTGCCCAGGCTGGAGTGCAGTGCCGCGATCTCAGCTCCCTGCAACCTCTGCCTCCCGGGTTCAAGAGATTCTCCTGCCTCAGCCTCCTGAGTAGCTGGTCTCGAACTCCTGACTTCAGGGGAGCCACATCGCCTGGCCAGGAATAAGGATTTTTAATCAGCTCTTCCCATTCCCTAGCCCCTACCTCTGGCTGATGCACGGTGCGGCCCGGGAACCCCTGGCGAGGTTCATAATCCTGCACCCAGGGAAGACCACGTATTTCCCAGCTCAGACAGTGACCTATTTGGCCTGGTTTTTTTCTTTTAAATCTTTTAAGTCTTTCTAGGGGAGAAATGCTTCATGGATTCTAGCTGCTCATCCTGTCTTCGGAGCCAGTCTCCCTCCAGCATGATCATATCGCTCAGATGAGCCTCTGCTCCTGGCTGGAGGCAGCGCTTTCCCACACTCCTGAGGAGAAGGGGAGAATCCCTCTGGGGCAGCACCTCCCGAATGTGCTCAGCCCCTGCCCAGCCCCACCACCCTAGAGGGGAAAGGACCTGCCCAGGTCAGTTTGGGAGGAGGCACCAGCTGTCTGTGGCCTGCTCTCTCTCCCTCCTGGCTAGCATCTGTCTGCCTGCAGAGAATAAACATTCTGATCTGCTCCTCCTTGCTGTACATATCACAGAAGCAGACTTGCACAGGGGGGGATCTGGGGAAACCATGGGTATCCAAAACCTTACCAGTGATTGGGGAACTCTTCCTAATTCAGGGTGAAGCACCCACGTTGTGCAGCCAAGTACAGGTGTTTCTCTACAAGAGAGTCTGAGCACCATCTGCCAGACCCTCAGCTCTGAACTCAGGTCAGGTAAGAGGAAAAAGAGGGGCCGCCCAGTGGCTCACGCCTGTAATCCCTGCACGTCTGTAATCCCAGCACGCCTGTAATCCCTGCACGTCTGTAATCCCTGCACGCCTGTAATCCCAGCACGCCTGTAATCCCTGCACGCCTGTAATCCCAGCGTGCCTGTAATCCCAGCACCTTGGGAGGCCGAGGCGGGCAGGTCACGAGGTCAGGAGATCGACACCATCCTGGCGAACACGATGAAAACCTGTCTCTACTAAAAAATACAAAAAACTAGCCAGGCGCGGTGGCGGGCGCCCATAGTCACAGCTACTTGGAAGGCTGAGGCCGGAGAATGGCGTGAACCTGGGAGGCGAAGCTTGCGGTGAGCCGAGATTGTGCCGCCGCACTTGAGCCTGGGTGACAGAGCGAGACTCCATGGAAAAAAAAAAAAGGGGGTGGGGAAGAAGAATGACGACTTATCGACCCTCAATTCCAATGTTATGCATTTGCATTTACCTTTATCGGGAATTTTGTCCACACTGCCAAGGAAATATTCTGGTCCAGGAGAATTCCAAGCAACACTGGTTGCTTTGATAAGACACATAAAAAAAAAAAAAGAAGAAGAAAAAGGATCTTCATCAGTACACATTTGCAAGCACCTTGGGCCCATATTTTGTATTCCGTTTTTTGTTTTTTTGTCTTTTGAGACAGAGTCTCGCTGTCACCCAGGCTGGAGTGCAGTGGCACGACTCCGCCTCCCGGGTCCAAGTGATTCTCATGTCTCAGCCTCCCAAGTAGCTGGGTCTACAGGCATGCGCCACCATGCCCAGTTAATTTTTTGTATGTTTAGTAGAGACAGGGTTTCGTCATGTTGGTCAGGCTGGTCTCGAACTCCTGACCTCAAGTGATCCACTCACCTCGGCCTCCCAAAGTGCTGGGATTACAGGCGTGAGCCACCGCGCCTGATCTTATTTTCCATTTCTAAGTTGAAATGCTAATATAGAACTCGACTTGTATGAGCAAATGTGTGTTTGAACGTGAATGCCTTGATGCAGAGAGCGGGGCCGCCTCACTGCCGACTGCAGAGGTGCCCAGGCAGTTGTCCTGACTACCCTCACGGAGACTACCCTCAGGAACTGGGGCGCAAACATCTGCAGAATACCAACACAGTGCCCATTCCCCCTCCCTGCCTGGGGCACTTGCACCCCCAGCTGGCAGATTTCCAGTACACTATTCTATCCTTATTATTGTGAGCAGATACCTATCTAAATTCCCAACGTGCTAAATGTTTCCCCTAATATGAAGCTGCTTTTTGGGAAAGCGTGCGCTCTTCACGTGTGTCATTTCTCTGGATGTGCCTAAGCTAAGTCATTTTTTAGTCTTTTTTTATCATCCACTGAATGGGGTGTTAATGACTGCACTAACCCTCTCAAACCACATTGTGCACTTAGGATTCGTGTGTTGGGTTGAAAGTTATAATGCTGCTAGGGGCTCCTGTTGTCGGGAACGGGGAACCCCGCTTGCAGATCAGGTTTCTGTCCTCTGAATACCTCCAGGGTGGCAGAACCTGCCTAACACTGCACATCAAGGATCACCCCAAAATACAGGGATAGTCACGCTTCGGAGCACAGACTCCACAGCGGAGGGGAAGGTTACAGAGAGGATTTCAGACAGTTGTTTCCTTCCTATCTCCATTTGGCTTTGCCCCACCAGCAGTTGGTTTAGAGACTGCTAGGATGATAACGGCACATTGAAGACAACACACAGGCCTACAGAAATGTGTGCACTTACTGTGTTAACGGCATACACTTGCCTTTTCTCATGTCTGTCTTTGTAATGGATCGGACTGCTGTTGTTTCGCTAAATGACGGGTCATATGGAACCGTGGGAAACACCTGCAGCAGAATTTCATCTCCAGTGAAGCAAACAAAGGCACGTTAATGGCAGCAATGCAGGACTGATATCTTTTGCTCTGTAAGTACCTAAAGCAGTCTATGAATATAGTGACTACAGGACGCAAACTCCACGGATATAGGACGCTATTCCCTAAAATGCCTTGTCTTGGGAAGGAAAACTCCAATTACCGAAATCATTTCCGGAAAACTGTGATTGTCTGAGACATCCTGGGCAGTAAACACTGCGCACTATAGATATATGGCCCCAGATCTCCCGATACTTCGTGCCCTAATAATTCTTCTTGTTCCTCTTGTCATTCTGATGCACCTTTGAGGCTGTTCGCAAGATGACTCTTAAAAATAAGGTAAAGATTGTGGGGGCACAGATGAATCAGAACAGATTCTATAAGCTCGGAAAGCTCTTTGTTTATAAAAGTGTTGCTAATCCATGAGGGTTACATTTTTGAAATATATTAAGTTCTCCTTCCCTTTTAAGTTCTCAGGCTTCTGGCTTCCCTGGGAAGCAGAAGTTTTACTTTCTCTTCCAGGCTTTCCCTGCTAAGACACAGAAAACAGTCCTCACAAACCCCACTCATCCTGTATTTATTCTCGGTGCATTTCTGGGGCTGCTGGTTCTCGGTGGTTTTTACTCGCTCCACATAACAGGAGCTCACCACAGAGACACCAGAAAATGAACCATCAGGGTCACCAGGACAATGAGGAGCTGCTCTCATCACCCCTCCTTGAGGACCATGGGGACCTACGAGTCCCTGGAAATGCTGCCCAGAGGGAACTGCAGAGTTGAGCCGTGGCCTCCAATGCCAAGGCCCACCTGGCGGGAGCTGGGCCGGTCAGTGGGCTCTTGAGGGGTGATGGGAGCTTCGCAAACCCCCAACTCTTCTCCCATCTTCAGATGCAATCACCCACCTCCTACACATACGGGGCCGCGTTCAGAGACACCGGGGTCACCTGCAAGGCTGAGACAAGGCTTCTGCCTCCTAGACAGCAGGTGCTGAGGGCACAGCGAGGGGGACTGCAAGTGCTGCCTGCATCTGCTCATTCATCCTTCCTGGTCACCTGCCAGGCAGCCGTCTATGCAGACTGCCCGAGGCCTCTGTGATGGCTCCATGGGGAGGAGCAGGCCCAGCGCTCCTGACACGGATAGCTGCCGGAACGGAGACCCACCGGGTGTCGAGAGATCTGCTCCCTTGCAAGCAGGAACGAACAGGCATTGCTCTGTGATCTGAATGCCTCCTAACCCGGGGGGAAGCATCAGTGCCACTGTCCCGGTTGCTCCTTCTCACACCTAAGGCGACCCTCAACCTTCGCTCCCGACGCACAGCCCAGGCACCCTCAGGAGAGACTTCACTGGCATTTGCACAGCTTCCTTCAGCAGACAGCTGTGGTTCAGAACCCTTTCCTCCGTCTCAGCTCTCTGCTAAAGAGGACTTCCCTGGGCCTTGGCTTTAGCTCTGTGGTGGTGGTGGTGGTGGTGGTAAAATACACTTAACATAAAATTTCCATTTCTACTATTTATTTAGAGACAAAGTCTCGCTGTGTCACCCAAGCTGAACTGCTGTGCTATAATCATAGCTCACTGAAGCCTTGAACTCTTGGCCTCAAGCGATCCTCCCGCCTCAGCCTCCCGAGTAGCTAGACTACAGGCATGCGTCACCACACTCGGCTCATTTTTTAAGTTTTTGTAGGAACAGGGTCTCACTATGTTACCTAGGCTGGTCTGGAACTCCTGGCCTCAAGTGAGCCTCCCATCTCAGCCTTGCAAATTGTTGAAATTACAGGCATGAGCCACAATGCCTGGCCCATTTTCACTCTATTTAAGTGTACAATTTAAGGGCATTCAAAACATTCACAGTTTTGTGTAAACATCACCACTATTTATTTTCAGAACTCCAGGCTGGAGTGCAGTAGTGCAGTCTCAGCTCACTGCAACCTCTGCTCGCCAGGCTCAAATGTCCTCCCACCTCAGGCTCCCAACTAGCTGGAACTACAGGCTCATGCCACCACACCCAGCTAATTTTTTTTTAATTTTTAGTAGAGACAGGGTTTCACCATGTTGGTCGGGCTGGTCTTGAACTTCTAACCTCAAGCAATCCACTTGCCTTGGCCTCCCAAAGTGCTGAGATTGAGGCACTTGGCCTCCAGAACTTCTTTTTTTTTTTTTTTTTTTGAGACAGAGTCTCGCTCTGTCGCCCAGGCTGGAGTGCAGTGGCGCCATCTCAGCTCACTGCAAGCTCTGCCTCCCGGGTTCACGCCATTCTCCTGCCTCAGCCTCCCAAGTAGCTGGGACTACAGGCGCCCGCCACCACGCCCGGCTAATTTTTGTATTTTTAGTAGATACGGGGTTTCACCGTGTTAGCCAGGATGGGCTCAATCTCCTGACCTCGTGATCCGCCCATCTCGGCCTCCCAAAGTGCTGGTATTACAGCCGTGAGCCACTGCGCCCGGACCAGAACTTTTAAATCAACTGAAACGGGGAGGCACAGTGGCTCACGCCTGTAATCCCAGCACTTTGGGAGGCTGAGGCAGGCAGAGCATGAGGTCAGGAGTTCGAGACCAGCCTGACCAACATGGTGAAACCCCATCTCTACTAAAAATACAAAAAATTAGCCAGGCATGGTAGCACATGCCTGTAATCCCAGCTACTGAGGAGGCTGAGACAAGAGAATCGCTTGAACCAGGGAGGCAGAGGTTGCAGTGAGCCGATATTGCACCATTGCATTCTAGCCTGGGTAACAGGGCGAGACTCCATCTCAAAAAAAAAAAAAATCAACTGAAACAGAAACTCTATACCCACTGCTATGGTTTAAATGTGTCCTCAAATTTCATGTGCTGGAAATTTGATTCCCAATGTGGTGGTCATGTTAGGAGGTAGGGCCTAGTGGAGGTGTTTGGGTCATGGAAATTGTGCCCTCATCAAGATGTGGTTATCACAGGAATGGGTTAGTTATCACAAGAGTGCATACCATGTAAAAGGACAAGTTCGGCCCTCCCTTGCTCTGTCTTTCACCCTCTATGGCATTTCTGCTTTCTGCCATGGGATGATGATACAGCAAGAAGGTTCTTGCCAGATGCTGGCCTCTCAGTCTTAGACTTCCCAGCCTTCAGAATTGTGAGCCAATAAATTTCAATTTATTACAAATTACCCAGCCTGTGATATTCCATTATAACAGCACAAAATGGACATGTAGCAGCTGTACCATCTTACCTTCCCACCAGCAATGTATGAGGGTCTCAGTTTCCTTCATCCTCACCAAAAAAAATAGCCATTCTGGCTGGGCATGGTGGCTCACACCTGTAATCCCAGCACTTTCAGAGGCCAAGGTGGGTAGATCACCTGAGGTCAGGAGTTCGTGACCAGCCTGGCCCACATGGCAAAACCCCATCTCTAGTAAAAATGCAAAAATTAGCCAGGTTTGGTGGCAGGCACTATAATCTCAGCTACTAGGGAGGCCGAGGCAGGAGAATTGCTTGAACTTGGGAGGTGGAGGTTGCAGTAATCCGAGATCGCACCATTGCGCTCCAGCCTGGGTGACAGAGCAAGACTTTGTCTCAAAAAAAGAAAAAAAAGGCTGGACATGGTGGCTCACGCCTGTAATCCCAGCACTTTGGGAGGCCGAGGGGGGCGGATCACAAGGTCAGGAGATCGAGACCACCCGGCTAACACATAGACGGGGTTTCACAGTGAAACCCCATCTCTACTACAAATACAAAAAATTAGCCGGGCTTGGTGACGGGCGCCTGTAGTCCCAGTTACTCGGGAGGCTGAGGCAGGAGAATGGCGTGAACCCAGGAGGCGGAGCTTGCA